CAGCTCCCTGTCTCGGTCTCCCCCTTCGTGTACGCAGCACTCAGCACTCGGCGGCAGTTCTGTGTGATGAGGGGGCGGGGATTACACCGCTCCCTCCCATTGGCTGCTGCCCGGCTGGCTGATGCTTCACGCTGCGCCCGGAACAAGATGAGGGGAGCAGCGTGAAGCATGTAGGGCCCAGGACGGGAGGAAGAGGTCCCGGGACTGGTAATCAGCGGTCACCAGTGCCCCCTCCCTCCTGTCCTGGGCCCCCTCCAAGTGGCCGAACTCCAGGGCCCGGTCGCGGCCGCGACCTCTGCGACCCTGGTAGTTCCGCCACTGCTCACAAGCACAGAGGCAAAAGCTGATGAGGTATAAATAAGATACATCCTGCACTCGGGGTGAGTCTCAGAGCTAGGGAATATGTGACCAGACTCATTTACCAGTAACTGACAAGAAAGCTGGGAAAAGTACAGGGCAGAAGCGAGTAAACACTAGACTTGTGCGCCGTCAAAAAATGTGTTCCGTTTCGGAATATCCGTTATTTCGTATTTCGTAATTCGTGTCCGAAACTCAATTCGGATTCGTACGAAATACGAATTTTCGTTAGTTTCGGCACATTTTCGTAACTGTACGAACATTCGTTATGATGAAGTTAATAGGCAAAAATACCTTTGTTAATATTGGAGTCGATGTGGTAGTTGTTTTTTTATCCGAAATACGAATTCCGTATCCGAATTTCGTATTTCGGATTAAAAAAAAACTACCATCAACTCCAATATATTAACAAATGTACTTTGCTTTTTAACTTCAATATAACGAATGATCGTAACGGAACGAAAATACGTCAACGGAATTTCGTATTTCCTGCCTGTATTCAGTGTATTGTAATGCAACTCTCAGCAGCAGAAGAGAAAACCTCTGATTAGTCAACCAAACGAAATACGAATCCCGTTAACGCATTCCGGATCCGAATTTCGTATTAAAAAAAAACTACCATCAACTCCAGTATATTAACAAATGTACTTTGCTTTTTAACTTCAATATAACAAATTTTTGTAACAGAACGAAATTCCGTCAACGGAATTTCGTATTTCCTGCCTGTGTATTGTAATGCAACCCTCAGCAGCAGCGGATCCGTATTTGGTATTAAAAAAAATCTTGTCATGTTGTTCAACCTCATTTACAGGGGTAATATTAGTTCCTGTTTCAAAGAATTTCGGATCCGAAATTCGTTAACGGAATTTCGTATTTCGGATATAATTCGGAAACTGCAATTCGGTTTTCGGATGCTTACGAATTTCAGGAAAATTCGTACGAATTTCGATTCGTAACAAAACAAATCGCACATGTCTAGTAAACACTGAGTAGACTGTGTCCTGTTACCCAGCAACTAGGATGCTAGCTGAGCAGAGTTGCATAGTGTCCAGTTGCCTGGCAACCAGGATGCAAGCTGCCACTGTGAGGGGAGAGAGCTGGAAGTAGACGTGGGCCAGTAGTGGACGGGTAAGTATCCAGGCTGTTTTAAAACTGTCTTTCACATGCTCAAGGAGGTGAGTGCTGTCAGAAAGGTTATCTGCAGTATCTAACATTTGCTTGGTGCTTGCTACTCCGAAGCTTATGCTGTACATACAATGATATAGCATTTAAATGGATCTGAACCATTGCCTTGCCTAGTGAATCCTTTACCTTTTGTATTCACCAGAAGTCCCAGGGCTGCTAATGCAACCAGTCTGATTCCTAATCCTTCTTTTACATAGGCACCTGTCAGTTTCGATCGTTCGATGGAGGAAAAAAAATGAACTTACCAGACCCATGTTACGTCTATAGGGAGTTGGATGTAAATGGGCATGTGTACATTTCCATCAAATTACCCTCGATCCGTCGCGATCGTGTACGCCAAAACAAGGCTCTGTTCCATTTGGTTTTCCCGAACCTGGACGAAGTCGGGGTAATCAGATTTAAATGGATGCATGTCTGTTTCTATCCAGCTGCCCACAGACTAACATTAAGCTTCAGATCAGATCTGCCTGAAAAACTGTCAGGCAGACCAGATCAGATCAACCATTTGAAAGGAGCGTAAGAACTAGGGATGCACAGATACTTTTCGAGTACCAGTGCAGATACTTGGCATTTTCATGTGAACTACCAGGGTTGCAGTGGTTGCAGCTGGGACCGGGCTCTGGCACTCCACCACTGTCCTGAAATCATTAGTCTGTATTGTTTTAGAAAAAACTGTCACATGACAATAAACAAAAATGTATCAGTACTCGTACTTGTAAGTACTCGGCAAGTACCAGTACTCGTACTCGCAAAACTGGTATCTGTGCATCCCTTTATTTATATTTATAAAAACAAAATCATACATTAAAACAGAGATGTACAAATCCCAGGAGCTCCGTGTGCTCCTTACAAATGACAGCTGCCTCCTAATTTTTGAATTTTTCTCTAGTGTAGTCTTGGAGCTCAAAAGTATCGGTACATGTACTCGTACTTGTACCGAGTACTGTACTTGGTATCTGTGCAACCCTACTAAGAACCACTGAAGTTGTTTGGGGTTAGACATGGATTATATGTAGAACTGCTAATGTCAGGCATCATTAGGAGTTACCAGAGGCAGTTGAGGGACGCTTTCAGAAGAAACAGTGGATAGGTAGGATTAATGGGTGGATGTAGGTAGATGCGTTGCATTCATGCAATGGACTTTAATTCAGGCTTTATAGGAACATATAGTGCATTGATACAGAGAAGCATGTTTAAGTGATTTTCGGAGATAGTGCATAAATTTATGCATCAAAGTAAATATTTGAAAGTGAATTGACATAGATAAATGTACAAGGGACTGGATTTAAACTGGAATGTGTGCAATATGAGAGAGTAAAGTAAATTTATATTGCAAAGCCAATGCATCATGTATTTGTGTTAATAGAGCTACCCAGAAAAAAAGTATTATTAGTAGGCATGTAGTATCGGTATCGATACTAGTATCGGTATCAGTGCCAATACTGGGCATTTTCACGAGTACTTGTACTTGTGAAAATGCCCCAATACATAGCGCAGATACTGGCTCTTTAAATGATCAAATAAATTAGGCTGCCTGCGGTCCCGTGCTTGCTTGAAAGCCGTCATCTGAGTTCCATTACTCCACCATGGTGACAGTTTTTCTTTTGCATTTTCATATAAAGTACTTGAGAACCTTGTCCTGGCATTAACTGCAGCCCAAACAAGATCCTATAAAATAATAGACCTGAGAAATCGAGAATGCAGGGGACACATTGGTATTCTTAGAAATCACTGTACATTTTTCTAATAAATGTATTTTATTCCACTGTTAGGTCAGGATTTTCATATTTTCATTGTGGTAATGTGCATTTTTACTGTGTATTAGTGCAAACATGGTAATACATATACTAAAGTGCATTTTAGTACCATTCATTTTGAAGAGCAACCCCAATGCACAACCCAAACTCCCAACAACTGATTCAAATGTTACTGCACCACACTGCAGAGACATGAACCACCTGTGTGTTGGGGTGTAGGAGAATATTTAGGTCTTTTTTGGTTTATTGCCAACCCATTTAAAATGAATGTGCTGTCATGCAGCAATGAACATTAATGCATAACATGTGTTACTGAGCATGCAGTAATGCACTTTGGCATTACAAAGCTCAACACATACAGTTCATCAACAATATTTTTATTTTATTATAAAATAAATCATTTTTACTAAATTCTCTTGTTCTACTCCTATCACCTTTAAAAAGAGTGTTAAAATTTGTGTTTTTCTCTGGCCATAAATATAATGCTCACTTCAGAAAACTAATCTATGTTGCTGTGTTATAAAGCCAGCACAACTACTTTTCTATTTCTAGCAGAAACCCTGCAGATGCAGGTTGTAGGGAAAAACCATTATATGCCAGTACCGGTTGTAGGGAAAAACCATTATATCCCAGTACCACTTTGTTATTGACAAAATGCATGCTTAAAGGAGAACTATGAGGTGAGTGCTTTTCACTCACCTCATAGTTCTAGCCGACCTGTGACAATGAGACTGTCACAGATCGGCTCAGAAGATCGGGAGGTGAGCGAACACATACCGGCGTTCGCTCACTTCTCGATCCTGTCACGGCTCTCTGCCGTGACAGGGGAGGGACTGAATTCCCCCCTGCCCGCTCCAATCCTCCAGCGCTGACTGGCGGAACGGACGGTGGAGGGGGCGGGTACAGCTGGCTCTGCCTCTAGATAGCCAGAGCCAGCAGTCAGTCACGCAGCTGGGCGGATCCAGATATAATTGTCGGTATCCGCTTCAGCTGCAGCGTAGTATACTGCGAGCAGTAGCTCGCGGTATACTGCGGCGTCTTAGTATACCGCGAGCTGTAGCCCTACTGAGCCTAGGGTGACGGGAGGATGCTAGTTTGTGTCCTCCCGCTACCCTAAGGAGAACTATGGGGAAAAGCCTTAACCCCATAGTTTTCCTTTGACAGCAAGTTATTCAACTCCAGGCAAATATTAACCCCCCTCCCACCTGCAACCCTCCTCACTGGCACTACAAACAAGCCCTAAATCTAAATGCCATTTTTACTCACCTCACATGATGATGCTCCAGTCTTCTCTCTTTTTTATGTTTACAGGAGGTGGGGTCCTTCTTTGGGTGTCCACACCACTACCCTTGTGATGTAGACACTTCCCATGAGCTGCCCAGTGACAAGGTCCTCTCAGGATCCAGAAGAGGAGTTTGCAGCACCTACATCATTATATAGGGACTGCCCCGTGCAGCCAGATCTAAATTGCTGGATTAGCAGTCCCCCACCACCTGGGAGTACTGGTACTCACCAAGGGACCTGAACAGCTGATTTAAGTGAGTATATATATATATTCACAAGGTAAGAAAGAAAAAAAATGCACGAGTTGGGTTGGAAGGGGGAAGGGGAGTACAGTTGGTTGTTATTTGCCTGGAGATGGGCTTGAAAGATTTTTTTTAAATTGCACATTATGTAGTATATAATTAAATGAATACATACAAATCTGTAGCAGGCAAAGTACTGGATCCTGAAGTAATGCTCCTCATTGAGGGTTTTGGTGATGTAGAAGGGAAGGTGTTTGAAGAATATGGAGTGTGAGGATATAGTTTCTGGAGTCCTGCAAGGCATCAAACAAAAAAAACATACAGATATTTAAATTAGAAACTGCTGTAAATTATGCTGTGCAGAATGACATAGAGAAGACATTTCAAATCATGCTTTCAAGAAGTAAAAAAGCAGATATTTATTGTCCTTATTAGGGATGTTCCGATACTAGTGCCGATACTTGGCCTTTTCACATGAACTACCAGGGTTGCAGCGGTTGCAGCTGGTGCCTGGCTCTGGGACTCCACCACTGTCCTGAAATCATTAGTCTGTATTGTTTTAGAAAAACTGTCACATGATAATAATCAAAAATGTATCAGTACTTGTAGATGTGAGTACTTCGACAAGTACTTGTACGAGTACTTGGACAAATGGTATCGGTGCATTCCTTATATATATTTCGCAAAAAAAAAAATCATACAATAAAACGGATGCACAAATCCCATGAACTCCGTATGCTCCTTAAAAATGACAGCTGCCTCCTAACTTTAGAGTTTTTCTCTAGTCTAGTCTTGGAGTTGGAAAAGTATCTCCACTTGTACTTGTACTGAGTACGATACTTGGTATCTGAACATCCCTAGTCCTTACGCAACAAAATGAAGTACCTATGTGGTTACTGTTAAACTTTGAAATCCTAACAATGCTCCTGGTCCTAACAATGCTCCTGGTCCTTGAAAGTCACTAGGCTTTAAACTGAAGGGCAGAACCACAAGAGCTGTATATTCTGGAATATGACCTTTCCCTCTGCAACATAGAAAAGACAGTGGCAGCTTCAGTAGCTGCTAAAGTCTTGGTGCTAAAAAAAAAGGATTTCAAGGGTTTCTAGAGCACAGGGTTGACTTTTCATCGGTTTGCAATCTATATGCCTAATTTGGTTTGCACTTGAATAAAAAGGGTTCTGCTCTATTAGGAAAGAGGTTCATGGGAAGGTTCTAGAAGTATTTAAAATGGGTTTTGTCCCAACATAACAATTTGGAACCACATACAATTCTACTCTTGATGGATTTAATCTCATATTTACTAGATGTTTAGACTGTTTAAATTATTGCACATCATTTCACTTAAATCCTCTTTTAGATACATATTTTAATACATTTTACTGTGTTTAGAGGCAAATTTTAGGAATTTCAAATAAATGCCATTTTTAAAGTTTATCATTATATAAAATATTTTACTGTTTTGTACTTTTTGTATCCCTGATGAAGGGGGCATATGGAGGCCCTTAAAACATGATAGCGCTTATTATATGATAAATTAGGTTATTTTATTTGGATAATTTCAACAATTCTTCTTCTTTTGTCCAAAAAACTCGCTTCTGGCTTTTTTTAATGTATCAGGAGATGTCTTACTCAGTAGAGTGTTATCCCCATTAAAGATTATAAAACCAAAAGGGAAATCTAATATATTTTTGGGATCCAGTGCTCCAACCTGCAGTGCCAGGGAAAAATACTTGATAGTAATTTTTACTCTCCCTTACTCTATTGAAAACTAAACAATGTCTGGAGTTAATTTTAAATGTAGAACAATGTAGAGCATATTACAAATTAGCATGACAGAGGAAGAGAACAGTAAAAGGTGGCATCTGTGCAGATTTTCTTTAAAGAAATATATTATATGGTAATCAAAAAATGATACTAGAATGGGACCTACCAAACAGTAGATTATTTTACTGGCTAGTTTAAAAATGTTTAATGTTAAATATTTACCCAAAATTAAATGACACATATACAATACAAGCATATTTTATAAAAAAAACTTGTACAAAGAGCATATATGTAGACCCAGAAAATGGCAGTCTCAATCAACTCCAGAAATTGTCAAACATAATATTATAACATCCACTTAAAATAGCCCCTGTTGGCTTGTTAATATTCAAGGTCAGATTTATAACCAGAAAACCTCCGGAGAGGAACATCCCCACTAAGCAGCAATAAATGTTTGATGCGAAGCCCTATCATTCTAATTGGAAAAGAGAACAACAAAGATGTCCTGAGATGAATATATAATTGTAAGTATCTGAAGAATATGAGCGATAATATTCAAAACCGCTTGTCACTATTGATTGCAGAGCAGTATATAATCCACTGATCAATTGCAAAGCCATGCAGACAAAAAAAAATGCAGTGTAGCGCTGATTAAATCCACATACAGAAGACAAATACAGTATATTTCTACATTTACTGATTACAGAAAGCTTAAGCAACTGCATGACAAATGAGTTTTAATGTTGATAAATGTAAGGTTAAGAACTTTGGGGCTAAATTACATATTTATATTATACAACATTGGTCCCAAAATTGGATAAATGAATGATACATATGGCTCTGGGTGTCCTGATAGATTGCAGACTTAATTGCATGATTGCATGCAACGCAAACCTGCAGCTTCCAAGACAAGAAAAATATTTTCTTGTATAAAAAAAGACACATAGACCTCTATTGAAGTATCACATATTTGCCACTTTATATTCATGTTCTATAATATGTTATGATTTGTGACTAAAAACACAGATCATTATTTTTTTAAATAAATCTATACAGAAGCAGTGCTGTAAATGAGGAAATGTGATTCTGAGAGCCAGTGATGAGCTCAGGCTAGGTTCACACTAAAGCGATCCGTGACCGCGCGGCAATTGTGCATAAAACCGCGCGGACACGGAATTGCACAGCACCGCCGATCGTGCTGGCAGTGCCATTATTTTCTAATGGCACCCCCAGTCACGCCAGGCAATCACGCACAAGTACATGTACCTTTTTTCAGCGATTGCCACACAAATATAACCCCTATTGAAATAAATGGGGCCGTGCACGATCACCGATATGTGAACCTAGCCTAAGGGTCGGCTCACACCACAAAGGCTGCCTTCCAGAGCGTTTGGCCTCTGGAACGCAAGCCGGTCGGCTCCCTGAGTTCAAGGGCGGGGGGGCGTTGCTTTGATGTAAATTTTTGTAGATTGCACTGGACCGGAACGCAGGCACTAATACTGATACATAAAAAAAACCCACAGGCTGAAATCAGCCGTACATCATCTGCCTTCGGCTGCACTTCGATAAATAAAAAGTACAGCCGTAAATCAGCCGTACTGAGCCGGAGTGAATTGTCGAACGTCGTTCGGCTCACTTCACTTAGGCTCGGTTATGCACACGGCCTTCGGCAGCTTTGTGCATAACCCCCTGTAACTTTACTTTTGGTAAGGGCCACATTTACCATTAGACACACAGTATCATAAACCAGGTTAGGACCAATAAAAAGTAAATGTTCCCCATAAAAGAGGGATGCCGATTTGGGCGCCAAAGTTTGTGTGTGTACAAAGAAAAATCAGCCTTGTCTGTTGCTGTAGTGTATTGAGTCCCAAGAATCTCCCCAAAAACAAAATCATACAAGCTGTAAGCATTTGCAAAATTATTTGTTAAACAGAAAAAGCCTTAAGGGAAATAATAATGGTTTTGAAAAAAAAATAATTTTATATAACCACTAAACATTTCTGATCAGGATTGAAGAAAACTTACCTTTTTGTCTTTACACAGATACAGATTTTACTTATAACATAGACATAAATAAGTATACAATATATTAAAGTGATTTGCACGTACCATCTTCTTCACCCTGCAAAAAAATAGTGTGAAAACGGATTGTAAAAGTAGGTTATGAAAATGGCAATTTTGTTAATTCATTACAAATGTCACAAATTACTGTAAAATCATTAAAGACTGTCTTACCTTATCTAAACAAACTTCACGGTTATTATTACTACCCATTCTCCTGCTTTTATTTCTGGAAACCAACTAAATCATTGAACAATCAAATCTGTAAACTTCCTGACCTTTCTAAAGATGTACAGATTTGTAGGGTATAATATAGTATTGTATATGCAATAATGTGCTGAGCTGAAGAAACAATTAAATATAAACAGTGAAATATTGTATTATTTTGTATTATATTTTGTATTATATCATTGATCATGATATAATTTTAGTGCTTAGTAGCTCTTTTTCACCTTTTTTTGTATCATCACTGGCGCAGATCTTTTTTGTTAATTTATAATATAGTATTAAATGCAAAAGGAGCAGGAAGCGGAATATCAAAACACATTTAAACTGCTATCTAGGGCTGCACCGATACCATTCTTTCCAGACTGAGTACAAGTACCGATGCTTATCCTCAAGTACTTCCCGATACCAATTACCAATACTTTTTTTTTATTTTCATGTGACAGTTTTTCTAAAACAATACAGACTAATGATTTTAGGGCAGTGGTGGAGTGCCAGGACCCGGTCACAGCTGCAACCACTGTGACCCTTGTAATTTCCCCACTGACTCCAAGCTGTAAAGTGACTACAAATCCCAGCAATACATTATACAGCAAAGCAGAATAGCATCAGCTATTGAGGACTGCAAATCCCAGCAATATAGAATGACATTGGCTATAGTGGACCACAAATCCCAGTAATAAAATATACAGCAATGCAAAATACCACCAGCAATATGGGACTACAAATCCCAGCAATACATTATAAAGCAATGCAAAATAATATGAAGCTACATACTCTGTGTTTCTCCAGGGTGGTGATCTGATGGCCACAGGGTCTCAGGTGGGCTGTGGAGGGTCCCAGGTGGGCTGTGCAGGGTCTCAGGTGGGCTGTGCAGGGCTCTTGGGTTGAATGTGCGGTCTCTCAGGTGGGCTGTGCAGTGTCTCGGGTGGGCTGTGCAGAGTCTCGGGTGGGCTGTGCGGGCTCTTGGGTGGGCTGTGTAGGGTCTATGGTGGGCTGTGCAGACTTGTGAGTAGTGATCCAGGGTCACCAAAGAATAGTGATCAGTGAATGTGTCTGGGCTCGGTTCTCAGGGCGTTCCTTAACCCATTGTTCTAAAGTCCCAAAGTACAGAAATTGCGAGGTTAAGTCCAAACCCCTTTAAAGTATATTGGAAATGAATCTAATTAAAATTTTGGCCATGTTCAAGGCAAATGGGCAAGAAATTGTCAAACAAAGGGCATGAGGAGCTGGTCACTGTCATGGGAAACATACCAATGCAAAAAAAATAATAATAACATTACTGTACAGTAGGGACTGGGTTTTCCTTTTCATGTGACATGGGGAAAAGACAAATTCTCTAACTTACATGTTCAAGAGATGCCTTTAAGCTGTGGTGTGGTAAAACTCTTATGGACATTGTCAGCAACACCATATTCTGGCAACACATATTTTACATGTGTAATAGATTTATTTACTTTTACATTATTGTGTGGCTTAAATGCAGTAGCAGCACCTCAATCTAATTTATTACATCTTGGAAAACAGTCTTTTATAGGTAGTTTTGGAGGCACTACCTGATTTTTACCCAGCAGTAATAGGCAAAAATTGACTTGTGCAAGTCAACCACAACAGATCTAAAAGCTATTGGAAAATGTACTCTTCTATAGTGATGGGCCGAACACACCTGAGTTCAATTCGAACTTTAGAACATGGAAAAAGGTTGAACTCGAACTTCGAACTCAATGAAAGCGTATGGGACCAGAACACGTAAAATCGAATGTCCCCTTTTTGAAGGGTTATATGCAAGTTATTAGCCATAAAAAGGTATGAGGATTCGGGTACTGCACTGGGGGACATATATAAATGAAAAAAAGCAAATAATTTTTGTTTTTTTTAAAGGAGCAGTGATTTTAACATTGCTTAAAGTGAAACAATAAAATTAGAAATTCCTTTAAATATTGTGCCTGGGATTCCAGGACTGTCTAAAGCTTGGGATAAATTAATTACTTTCTTTTTGTTGGCAGCCAAAATACTCAAGGGCACAAAGCAGCCTATTTTTTGGGGCCTGCTAATGCACCCTTTCCTCCTCCTCATGGGTGCATAGTAGCTATTTATTTGGGCTTGCTAATGTACCTGTGAGAGAAGGGTTGCCGATCTTCATTCCGCACATTTTCGTGCCCATGCACAAACACATGTGCGCTATTCTGGTTGCATGCATACTTGTGAGCATGCATGCAAATGTGTGTGCATCATGCGCGCACGCTCATGCGTACGCACCCATTTGAACATTGGTGCCAGACAGCCTATTTAGGGCCTGTTCACATGATATTAGGTCCTGATCAGGTGCGGATCTGCAGACTGATGCAGTGCGTTTTTGCCACGTTTTGGTCGCGTTTTTGATGCGTTCCAGTAAAAAAAAATTTTTTTTTGCTGGAGTGGGGCTGTTAGTATGTTAGTTGCAGTGCAGTGCGTTTTTGATGCGTTTTTGACGCATTTTGGACGCGTTTGCGTTTCCAGACCGTTTCCTGACTGTACAAAATGTGACATGCAGTATTTTTCTGTCATAACCTGAACAGACTGCGCACGTGAGAACTGTAGCCCATAAAACACATAGGGATACATTGGGATGCATTTTGAGTGCAGCAGCGTACGGATCCGGTCAGCACACAAAACGGACGTCGTGTGAACAGGCCCTAAAGGAGGAGCTCTGTACCTTTCCTTTCCTTAGAGTTCTTAAGCTTGTACACTGCTTCCCGTGTTCCCGATCCTGTTTTTCCTGACATTGAGCCAGCTTGTTCTTGGACTCTGCTGATTGCTGCCTGCCCCTGACCATTAGCTTGTTCTGGACCTTCCTTCTGCATACTGATTCTGCACTGTTTTGCCTGCATGTTCCCGACCCTGCCTCTGCCTGCTTATTCTGTACCTCGCTGCCCGTCTGATCGTGACCTAGCTTGTGCCTGACTGCGGCTCTGCTCTGCACAAGTGCCACCTGCAACTCCAACTCTGGGTTTATCTACTTCATCAGGCACTTGTGCCCCTCTCCTGTTCCTACACCCTCTGTCCACCATTAGGTGGGTGTTGGAACAAAAGAAGCAAGGGAGGCCGCCCTCATCATCTCACGCTCTTAGCAGGTATGTAGCAGTACCCTTTTCCTCCTCCTATTCAAGGATTCAAAGCAGACACCCTGGTTTCTAGTGCTGCTCCTGTGCCTTTTTCCTCCTCCTTTTCAGCTAATCCCGCCATGTCCCTGTGAACTAGCTATGAAGAGTTTCGTGGAATGTATGGTTGTGTCAGGGACTTGAGATCCGTCCGTCCACACAGCTGCGTCTCGTTGCTAGGAGACATGCCGGCCAACTTGCGTCCACGGCTCCTCCCTCCAGACGCCGCCCTCAGACACATCCTGCGTTGAGAACGACAGGCATAGCAGGCCGGCTCTCCAGAAGCGTCACGTAGCTAAGAGACGTTCGGGAGGGCCTCTGCGTGCGACTCCACCCCCAGCACAGTCTCTTCTACAAAGACCTAGACGGCTCACTTGCTCAGCGTTCTAGCGTGGTAGAACGTCGAGCAAGCAACTAGTCTCTTACCACTGCCATCCTGAACCTTGTAGTCCTCCTCCAGAGGATTGAGATCGTGGACATCCTCACAACCACCGGACCTTGATCCCCGAACTCCTGAGGGGTATTTAGATTCCACAATAACCGCAAGTACCACCTGCACACTGCATTGAGTTACATTGCATACTACTCCATTGGGTTAAAGAGACAGTACTTTGCTTAGGAGTGTTCAGTTCGCATTATAATCTGTACGACTGGGAACATCAACCTTAGCATTCTGGTGTAAATGTGTGCTGTGCGTTGCAGGAGACTGTAACTTCCTCGAGCTGGAACGGGAATCATACCCCGAATATTGTTTAACTACGCTGCCACATTATCTACTACATCTGTTATATTGTCCATGCATTGGTGAGACTAACTATTGCTACACGAACTACAGACCCCAACAAATTACAATTGAGGTCCAGAGGGAGGATTCAGTCTGTTAATTATCCCATTTACAACCTGTGGTGGTGCATGATGTGTTAGGGGTTCCGACCTCACTCAATCCAATACAGAGTGTGACTGCGAATCCCCCACCTGAGCCATCCTCAGAGTTACTTTGCATTTGTGATCCATCACACACGCTTGCTGTAATAACAGGTTGCTATCCCCAGGGCCTATCCATATACCTCTGTGTGCTGCTTTGGAAGCTGAAGAAAAAAATGTCCCCAAATCATCTTCCCGCCCAGCATCTTCATTCTAGTCTAACACACGGTTTTTGCTTTTATTTGTGTCCTCTGCTACACCATAGTGTGAGGTACTAATCTGCCATTATTTTGTCCAGAAGGCCATACACCAGCTGTCATTACTTTGCACAGAAGGCCATCCCTGTCCTCAGCAGAAGGCAGCAGAATACAAAGGAGGAATAGGAAGAGGGTTGGTGTCCTAATGGTCACGAGGAGGAGGGTTGGGGAGCAGGCAGTTAGGAGGAGGGTCAGGATGATGATGGTGAGGAGCATTGTTGGGGTGTTGGTGGTGAGGAGAACTTGGGTGCTCACAGTGAGGAGGAAGAGGAAATTGGTGGAAGGCTTCAAGGGGGACGTCTCACCAACACAAGTGGAAAATATCAGGGGATCTATTCCCACCATCAAAGAGAAAGCTCAAAATGCTTCACACCGAGGGGGTGATGCAAAAACATTTTAACCACATTTAACAGTGCATGGATTCCCACACAGGAGGCCTTGCTAAAGAGGAAAAACCTACAGCCATAGGGTGCCTACCCTTGCACAACACAGGGTATGCAGCAGCACACGGAGGAGGGAAATTGTGTGGCCTTGCTAAATAGTATTTTTTTTATTGGTATTAGTACATGTCCCCCATGGTAGTGCTCAGCTAGCCATGCCCTTTTTTTGCTACCTACTACAATCAAGCCCAGCACTCCTAGGTTTAGGTTTAGTTTTACCTGACGTTTTCTTTTCTTTTGGCAGATTTCTGTCTAAATTTTGTTTGCTTTCAAATGATGCAGCAGCAAATGAAAGGCAGCAAATAGAACAGATTGTCAGCAAAAACAAAGTGCACTTTCAGCTCAAACTTAAAAAAAAAAAACCTTTCTCTACCCTTGCACTGCAAAGGTTAAATGCTTGTTTGGTCTAGAGCAGGGGTCTCAAACTCGATTCACTCGGGGGCCACTCAACAATTTTTTTTTCTCTCATGGGGGCCGCTTGCCAAATTTCATACGTTAAAATAAAATTTAACTATATTCGGTTTGGTACTAAAGACACCAACATACACACAATAAGGCCCCATTCAAATCTGAAGGTTTAGGTGCGATTAGGGATTCCTGCATCAGAAACTTGTGTTTTCCTGCAGCAGAAATCCCTAATCTGGCGTTTAAAAGTGGCAGCTGTCACTGTACATAAGGTTTAGAATTTTGCATGCCTGTACTTGCTTTAGTTTAGTGACTCAGGACCCAAGGCAATGGCAGCCACTATGATTCTTTCATGACGAGTAGTTTTATTTATGTTAACACAAGACTTTGTGTTTTGACTGATATGTTTAAAGGAGAACTATGGGGTTAAGGCTTTTCCCCATAGTTCTCCTTAGGGTAACGGGAGGACACAAACTAGCGTACTCCCGTCACCCTAGGCTCAGTATACCGCGAGCTGCGGCTCGCAGTATACTGAGACGCCGCAGCTGAAATGGATCCCGACAATTATGTCTGGATCCGCCCCGGCTGCGTGACTGACAGCTGGCTCTGCCTATCAAGAGGCAGAGCCAGCTGCACCCGCCCCTTCCGTTCCGCCAGTAAGCGCTGGCAGATCGGAGCGGGGAGTCCAGCTCCTCCACTGTCACGACAGAGAGCTGTGACAGGATCGAGAGGTGAGCGAACGCCGGTATGTGTTCGCTCACCTCCCGATCTACTGAGCCAATCTGTGACAGTCTCATTGTCACAGGCCGGCTAGAACTATGAGGTGAGTGAAAAGCACTCACCTCATAGTTCTCCTTTAAACCTGTGTATCTAGTCCTGTCTGCTAAGTTGTTAAAAGCCTAGGCCCGGCCTATCTGCATATTACACTCCTATGTAATTATTTGGTAAATAGTTAATGTTTACTTTGGTCAAAACTAATTGGTACTTTGTTTTATACTGCCAGTCTACCAGTTGCCAATAGTAGAACCAATTCCAAGAGCCACAACTATCAGACTCTTATGAAGATAGCCCAAAGGTCTATTGAGAAGAATGTTTTTTCTTTGGACAATTTGCCTAATATTGGGCCCACACCTACCAATGGGGAGCAACCACACCAATCTATTAATCTGTTTTCAAACCTGATTCTATTTTTTAAGATTCTCCACTGCGCTAGTGTAATCAGATAGCCATCTCTAAAAGTAACAAACCCATGTAACCATGACCAACAGCCACCTCAGCTCATGACAAGGATTTATGAGTGAATCTGAATTGTCCATACCCTTGTTGCTCTCATCACTCAAAGAAAAAAAGAAAGGATCAAGGTAAAAGATTATATTTGCAAATATGCTTCATTTGCCTGATATTTTCTCTGGAAATACTATTTTTGTACTATTAGTGAAAAAGTATCCATGTTGTTTAGCAGAGTAATATATAGGTTTGTAGGATGTGAATGTGGTGTTTATTATACTATATAGTTAAAACTGTCTGACAAATCAATGCTTTAATGTTAAAGCTGGAGGGTTAAAAATTGGAATCTACTGCATATCACTATAAAGGTTGGGGTAAACAAATACATAAAATATCCTGGGCAAAACATGCATTTTAATTTATAAAGAATTACTCCATATATTAATCAACTACACTGTGAGCATTACAAATAGATTGAAATAAACATCGCAAACACTACTTACCAGTTCACTGTGTGCCAATGGCCTACAAAGTTGAAAAACATTCAAAAGCATTATTAGTAAAAACTTTAA